TGAAGCTTAAGAAAATCCAACGTTCGTTTCCATTCTGTCTGTGGTCGCCTGCACGAACAGAGATGCATGGTTCTCGAAAGTAGGCTCGCGCTAATAAAAATCTTTGACACCTATTATCTATTTTTTTTATTTATCTATTATTCTCTTCATGGCGATGTCCCGCTGCTGTTGCTTTTAATTTATCTATACTATAGTTAGTATTCTATTATATACACCACACGTAATTACTATAGTATATTTATAGTATATATATTTGATATTTGCGCTACCCTAATTAACTCCATATTGCAAACTCGCTAGAATTCACTTCTTCTGCAGCTCCTTATAGCGGCCTCCGGCCCAGGGCAACACATACAGCAGCAAGCAAAAACATACAAAACGCAGTTATAGGTTCTAGCGGCCGCTGCTCACCCACCGGCCCACCCTACGTTCTTCTACCTCCCCTTCTTTTTTATTTCTTGCGCTGCACTATCGGCCTCAGCTATCGTCTTAGCTCTCTCTCTTCATGTTTCCCATCTCAATGTATCCGTCCATCCCATCGATCCAGTACCACAACATCCAAATTACTCCACATCCATCGCGTACCGCTCCACCCATCCAACCATCCATCGCACTCTCGTCGCGCCCGCCTTGTCCGTCCGTTCCAAACCATCCCACGCATCGCCAACGCACGCCCGCGCACGAAGTGCCGCCCGCTGTCTTTACGATAAATTAATTTTTAAAGGCAAATGGCACGTTTTCACCGCTACATGTTATTGGCATTAACTCCGCGCCATCGCGCGGCTCCACTTCACAATGCCTGCAGTGCTGTGTGTGCGTGGCATGTTCGTGAACTGAGTGTGCTTAGTGCGTCGCGGTGCGAGAAAGATACTGTGAAACATCCAAATTACCTGTCATAAAGTATCTGTGTGCTACATATAGAGCGCTGGGAGCTTTATGCCCGCGTATCGGACCCCGGCTGACACCCACACAAGCAGTTATCGTCTCACCGTTACGAAGAGACCTAATGTAGATTCTCCACTTGTGTCGGTGCTCTCTCGCTCTCTGCTCTGCTCTCTCATCTTCTCCTCTTCTCTCGATCTCCTCTTCTCTCTTCTCATCAAACTGCTCTCCTCTCATCGATCTCTTCTCCTCTCACTCTCCTCTCTTTTCTCTCTCTCTTCACCAGCACGGCTCTCCATCTCTTCTCTCTCTTCTCTCTCTTCTCTCATCTCATGCTCTCGTCTTTATCTTAATCTTTACTTTCTCTTACTCATCTCTCCGCCTGCCGTATTATTTTTCCAAGGTTTATATGGGTATTAATATCTATTTTTCATTTGTTTTCCATGTTTAAATTATTGCAAATTCGAATAAATTACATGGTCCGCGGATGTTTACTCCCACAAGATCATTATATAACTCCAGTTGTGCTCTATCTTTTCCGCCACTAGTGAGTATAATTTGTTAATTGCGTTGGAAATTTGCCATGATTTACTGACGCTTGGTCTCTTCCTATCATATAGATTCTGTCGTTCACGCCCTGTACAGATGCAGTGATTATTTTCTCAGTTTATAGCTTAATAATTTTATTTTTAATTCTTCCAGGCTTGCTTTCACATGCATAATTATTTGAATTTGTTGCTAATTGTTGAGATGTCATACAGGATTTTCATTCCCTCGGTTCTGGTCAACCTTCCTGATGAATTTTTGTTACCCTGCAGTTATAGTGTCTGGTTTCTTTGCCATGAATAAATCGCGCTCTCTTCAATTATTCGTTCAGATTTTGCTTCTCATGAGCGCGTTTTTTATTTCATTTCTTTAAACCATCTATATATATTTTGGACCTGCATATTTTTGTTATCATTTGTTATTGGCTGACATCGGTTCACTGTAGACTCAGCGTTTCTATGGTTGAATGTTAGTTCTAATTTTATAGTTTATTTATTATTCCGGCAATAAATGTAGCGATGGCGCCAGATTACCGAATTTACGGATTTCAATTAGACATTTCTTAGTAATTAGCAGTGATATTGGACAAACTAATACGCGTTTGGCTATAAGGTAATGTACTTATTAACTACACAAGGTGCCAGTTACTGTAGCATTCGTCAACTTTGCATAATCGATGGAAATATTATGCCTTTAACTGCCGCAGGGCCATAGAACATTGTCAGCTTGATTTCGCTACTGCAACCTGTCACCACCGTTCCCCACAAAAAATTGATCGCAAAACGCAAAATGATCGCAATGTATTTATCCTTTTATGGTGCATGTGTATATACAATACCGGTGACGTCACGCATTCGCACGCCAGAATATTTTCAAACAGGATTGCCAGTAGTGCTGACTTTGAGTAATAAAAGGATAAATACATTGTGCGATCATTTTGCGTTTTGCGATCAATTTTTTGTGGGGACAGGTGATGACAGGTTGCAGTAGCGAAATTGAGCTGACAATGTTCTATAGCCCTGCGGCAGTTAATGAACGCGGGCTATATAGTACTAGAGCTATAATCAAGCAAGAACCGCAGAAAAGCTAACATTTGAAAACACGCCCCTGAAAATGCTTGGTGCGTGAGTTTTAATGTTCATGATAATGCATCTGACATAGATCCAGTTACTATATATATATTGGCGAGCTGTGTTTTTTGGTATAAACAGATTTCCATCCATGATTTCCAAAATCAAAAATATGTCGTATTGTGTGGCAATCGGGTGCACGCGAAAGGTTAGACATGATATAGAAGAAGCCAATGGGGAACACATCTCCTACCACCAGTTTCCGGACGATGAGGCACTCAGAAAAACTTGGCTGGATAGAGTGAACCGCGAGGAACTAGTGCTCACAACATTTTCACGTTTGTGTTCGCTGCACTTCACTCCCCAAGACTTTATTAGAAATCCCCAAATCGTACGGTCTATGGGAGTGAGTATGAGACAAGTGCTTTATAGGACTGCGATACCATCACGATTCACAGATTGCGAATCCAGGACTACTCGTAGAAGGTCTGCTTTCTCGAAACGACCAATAGCACAGGTATGCTGTTTTCTTAGCAATTTATGATTTTGTCACACACTTCTGTGTATGCAGTAGTAGCGTTTCGAGCCTATATATTTATATATATATATATAGATATATATATATATATATATATATATATATATATTA